GGAACAAAGCCTTGGGGATGGAGAACTCTTGAGATGGAGGAAAAATCCTTGGGAATGGACAAATCCCTGGGAACAAACCCTTGGGGATGGAGGAAAAAGCCTTGGGAAGGAGGACAAAGCCTTGGGAACAAAGTCTGGGGATGGAGAACTCCTTGGGATGGAGGAAATATCCTTGGGATGGAGAACAAACCCCTGGGATGCAGAACAAACCCTTGGGATGCAGAACAAACCCTTGGGATGGGGAACAAGGGGAACAAACCCTTGGGATGGAGAACAAACCCTTGGGATGGGGAACAAACCCTTGGGATGGAGAACAAACCCTTGGGATGGAGAATAAACCCTTGGGAACAAAGCCTTGAGGATAAAGAACTCTTGGGATGGAGAACAAACCTTTGGGATGGAGAACAAACCCTTGGGATGGGGAACAATCCCTTGGGAAGGAGAACAAACCCTTGGGATGCGGAACAATCCCTCGGGATGGAGAACAAACCCTTGGGATGGAGAACAATCCCTCGGGATGCAGATCCTGCTCCTTCCCAGGGCCAACCCCCTCTCCCCTCTGCTCCGTCCCCGCTCCCACCTCAGCCTGTCGTAATCCTTCAGGAATCCCTTCAGGATCTTCAGCACCTCATCCGCGCGCACCCGCCCGGAGCTCCGGGAATGCCGCGGCTCCTCCTCCCTCTGGGAAGCGGCTCCTCCCTCCTCGGCCGGGCCCGGGCCCTGCAGGGAAAGCCGGGACACCGAAATTCCCGCCGGGATCGCCCCTTTTCCCGAGTGGAAAACTCGGGGAGCGGAGGGGAAATTCCATGGGGTTTTTTTTCCTCCTGGTGGGAGGGGAAGGGGGAGATGAAAACCCCCCCTCCCAGGCCGGGCTGGAGGTTCCTCCCCCTCGTCCCTTTTCCCCTCCCACCGGGGGAGGAATTTGGGGATGAGGCGCTTTGGGATCCCGGGTTTGGGATCCGCCCGTCCCGCCCTTCCCCACCTGGCTCGGCGGCGCCTGCCGGGATTCCCGGGATTCGTGCCTGAGGAAGGAATCCACCAGCTGGAACAGGTCATCCTCGTCCTCGATCCGGAGGGCCTGGGGAGGGATGGGAGCAGGGAATGGGGGAATCCCCCTGGGAAACAGGCTCTGGAAGGGGCTCCCAGCTCTCCCTGGATCCTTCCCTGCTCCAGCCTGGCCATTCCCAGCTCTCCCAGCCTGGATCCAGAGCCTGACATTGGATCCATGCCCAGCCCAACTCCTCTCTGGGAAGGAGTTCCGGGAACAAGGGGGGGTTCCCTGGGAATCTCGGCACTCAGGGAAGGGTCTCCCTTCCCCTTTCCCGCCTTTTCCACCCCCACATTCCATAAAAACCCCTCTGGGTGGATCCTGAGTGTCCTTTATCCTGGAATCATGGAATAGTTTGGATGGGCAAGGCCCTTTCATCCCATCCCATCCCTGTATCCCATCCCTGTATCCCATCCCTGTATCCCATCCCTGTATCCCATCCCTGTATCCCATCCCTGTATCCCTGTATCCCATCCCATCCCATCCCATCCCATCCCATCCCTGTATCCCATCCCTGTATCCCATCCCTGTATCCCATCCCTGTATCCCATCCCTGTATCCCTGTATCCCATCCCATCCCTGTATCCCATCCCTGTATCCCATCCCTGTATCCCTGTATCCCATCCCATCCCTGTATCCCATCCCATCCCATCCCATCCCATCCCTGTATCCCATCCCAGTATCCCATCCCTGTATCCCATCCCTGTATCCCATCCCATCCCTGTATCCCATCCCATCCCATCCCATCCCATCCCATCCCATCCCTGTATCCCATCCCATCCCATCCCATCCCGTCCCCACCTCAAAGAGGGATTGGATTTTCCGGAGGGTGTCCTGGGGCCCCTCCAGCTCCTGCAGGGGCTTCAGCAGCTTCTCCTCCGTCAGGAATCCCTTGGGAAAGGGGCAGGGAAGAGGGGGAAGAGCGGCAGAGTGAGGGAATCCCGAGGGAATCCGGGAAAAGCGGGATCATCCAGCAGGGAAGAACATCCCCCCCCCCCTCACCGTCTCGTCCCTCAGGAGCTCCAGGATCCTCCTGATGGTTTCCCTGGGGACGCTTCCCAAGGGTCTGGATGCGCCCTTGGCCTTCCCTGGAGTTCCTTTTCCCTCTTTTCCGCTGCCCAATCCTTTCCTTGGCCTCCCTGTCCCGGCCTCGGCCGCTTTCCCGGAGCTTCCCTCTGGAATGTGGGGAGAGAAGGGGGAGGGAAAGGGGCTGGCTGATCCCTGGAATCAGCAGGAAAATCCCAGCTGGTCCCTGGAGAACAAATCCAAGGATCCCGGGGTGGGAGGGGCCTCTGGAACTGGGAGCACCGGGAAAATCCAGAGGGAAGATCCCTAAAAGGGCTGGGATGAGCTGGGGATTCCTGGGAGATTCCAGACAGGGATGGCAAGGCCAGGAATGTCCCTGGGGGGATCTCCCAGGGAGGCAGGGGGAGGCTCTGGCCCATTCCCGGAATTCCCCCCCTATTCCCACCCCCATTCCCATTCCCATTCCCATTCCCGGAATTCCCCCCATCCCATCCCATTCCCATGCCCATCCCCATTCCCCCCCCCACTCCCATTCCCATTCCCATTCCCATCCCCATCCCCATTCCCATTCCCATTCCCATTCCCATTTCCATTCTCATTCCACCCCATCCCCATTCCCACCCCATCCCCACTCCCACCCCATTCCCATTCCCCACCTATCCCCACCCCCATCCCCATTCCCCCATTCCCACCCCATTCCCATTCCATTCCCCCAATTCCATTCCCACCCCACCCCCATCCCCACCCCACCCCATCCCCATTCCCATCCCCATCCCATTCCACCCCCATTCCCTTCCCCATCCCCCCATTCCCATTCCCCCCTATCCCCATCTCCCCATTCCCACCCCCATTCCCATCCCCACCCCCATTCCCAGAATTCCCATTCCCATTCCCGTTCCCGTCCCCACCTCCCAGCGCTTCCCGCGCCGCCTCCAGCGCCGTCCTCTTGCGGGGCCGCTCCCCGAGGGGGCCGCGGTTTTCCAGGATGCCGAGGGCGGGCTCTTCCCAGGGCATTCCCAGCTGCTGGACGTGCAGGAGCCGCTCGGCCTGCAGGGCCCTCCTGGCGAGCCCCTGGGCCTCCTGCTCGGCCACGAGCCACAGGCGGCGGCACCGCCGCGCCCCCCACCCGGAAAAGTGCCTGGGGGGACACCCCGGCTTCCAGAGGCAATTCCCAAACCTGGGAGGGATTCCCAAACCTGGGAGGGGCTTCCCAGCCTGGGGGGACAGGGGGGGATTCCCAAACCTGGGGACAGGGGCAATTCCCAAACCTGGGGACAGGGGGGGATTCCCAAACCTGGGGACAGGGGGACATTCCCAAACCTGGGGACAGGGGGGCATTCCAAACCTGGGGACAGGGGGACATCCCAAACCTGGGAGGGGATTCCCAAACCTGGGAGGGGCTGCCCAGCCTGGGGGGACAGGGGGCAATTCCCAAACCTGGGGACAGGGGATTCCCAGACTGGGGGGACAGGGGGAATTCCCAAACCTGGGAGGGGCTGCCCAGCCTGGGGGGACAGGGGGGGATTCCAAACCTGGGAGGGGATTCCCGGACTGGGGGGACAGGGAGATTCCCAAACCTGGGAGGGGCTGCCCAGACTGGGGGGGACAGGGGGCAATTCCCAAACCTGGGAGGGGCTGCCCAGCCTGGGGGGGACAGGGGGCAATTCCCAAACCTGGGAGGGGCTGCCCGAGACTGGGGGGACAGGGGCAATTCCCAAACCTGGGAGGGGCTGCCCAGACTGGGGAGGACAGGGGACATTCCCAAACCTGGGAGGGCTGCCCGGCCTGGGGGGACAGGGGGCAATTCCCAAACCTGGGAGGGGATTCCCAAACCTAGGGGGACAGGGGGGGATTCCCAAACCTGGGAGGGGCTGCCCAGACTGGGGGGGACAGGGGGGGATTCCCAAACCTGGGAGGGGCTGCCCAGACTGGGGGGACAGGGGGGGATTCCCAAACCTGGGAGGGGCTGCCCAGACTGGGACACCCCCCTGTGCCAGCCTCTGCCGGCCCCTTCCTTCCCGGACCTGCATCCCAGCCCTGGATCCCATCCCATCCCATCCCTGGATCCCATCCCTGGATCCCATCCCATTCCATCCATCCCATCCCATCCCATCCCATCCCTGGATCCCATCCCTGGATCCCATCCCTGGATCCCAGCCCTGGATCCCAGCCCTGGATCCCATTCCTGTATCCCATCCCTGGATCCCAGCCCAGGATCCCATCCCTGGATCCCAGCCCTGGATCCCATCCCTGGATCCCAGCCCTGGATCCCATCCCTGGATCCCATCCCTGGATCCCATCCCATCCCTGGATCCCATCCATGGATCCCATCCCTGGATCCCATCCCATCCCATCCCGTCTCATCCCATCCCATCCCTGTATCCCATCCCTGGATCCCATCCCTGGATCCCATCCCTGGATCCCAGCCCTGGATCCCTTCCCTGTATCCCATCCCTGGATCCCTGTATCCCATCCCATCCCATCCCATCCCTTTATCCCATCCCTGTATCCCATCCCATCCCATCCCATCCCATCCCATCCCTGTATCCCATCCCATCCCATCCCTGGATCCCATCCCATCCCTGTATCCCATCCCTGGATCCCATCCCTGGATCCCATCCCATCCCATCCCATCCCATCCCTGGATCCCATCCCATCCCTGGATCCCTGTCATCCCATCCCTGGATCCCATCCATCCCTGTATCCCATCCCATCCCATCCCTGGATCCCTGTATCCTATCCCTGTATCCCATACCTGTAACCCATCCCATCCCTGGATCCCATCCCTTTATCCCATCCCTGTATCCCATCCCAATCCTGTATCCCAATCCTGTATCCCATCCCATCCCTGTATCCCAGTATCCCTGTATCCCAGTATCCCTGTATCCCAGTATCTCTGTATCCCAGTATCCCATTCCCACCTCATCCTCCGCTCCATCTCCTGGTGCTGCCCCCGGATCCGCTCCCGGTCGCATTCCAGGCTCTGCTTCTCCTCCCGGAATTTCTTCTCCTGCTTTTCCAGCCGGGAGTTGAGGGAGCTGAGCAGCGACTGCAGCCTGGGGAGGGAGGGACGGGAATCCTGGGAATGCAGTGGGCCTGGAGCTGGGAAAATCCGGGGGGAAGATCCCTAAAAGGGCTGGGACGAGCTGGGATTCCTGGGGGATTCCTGGGGGATTCCAAACGGGAATGGCAAGGCCTTTATGCTTGGAATGTTCTCCCTGGAATCAGCAGGAAAATGCCAGCTGATCCCTGGGAAACAAATCCAGGGATCCCGGGATGGGAGGAGCTTCTCAAGCAGTTTGCCTGGAACTGGGAGCACTGGGAAAATCCAGTGGGAAGGTCCCAAAAGTGGCTGGGATGAGCTGGGGATTCCTGGCATGTTCCTAATGGGAATGGCAAGGCCTTTGTGCTCCCTAAAATCAGCAGGATAATCCCAGCTGATCCCTGGAAAACAAATCCAAGGATCCAGGGCTGGGAGGGGGCTCCTGGCCAGTTTCTCTGGAGCTGGGAGCGCTGGAAAATTCCAGTGGGAAGATCCCCCCAGAGCGGCTCTGGGGAAGCCCCAGCATGGCCGGGATCCCTCTGGGAATTCCCCGGGGCTGGGGATCCCTGTGGGAAGCAGGTTGGGAATTCCCCAGGGCCGGGGATCCCTGTGGGAAGTGGGAATCCCTTTGGGAATTCCCGGGGCCGGGGATCCCTGTGGGAAGCGGGTTGGGAATTCCCCGGGGCCGGGGATCCCTGTGGGAATCCCTCTGGGAATTCCCCGGGGCCGGGGATCCCTGTGGGAATCCCTCTGGGAATTTCCCGGGGCCGGGGATCCCTGTGGGAAGCAGGTTGGGAATTCCCCGGGGCTGGGGATCCCTGTGGGAAGCGGGAATCCCTCTGGGAATTCCCCGGGGCCGGGGATCCCTGTGGGAAGCAGGAATCCCTCTGGGAATTCCCCAGGGGCCGGGGATCCCTGTGGGAAGCGGGAATCCCTCTGGGAATTCCCCAGGGCCGGGGATCCCTGTGGGAAGCGGGAATCCCTCTGGGAATTCCCGGGGGCCGGGATTTACCGGCTGATCCTCCTCTTCTGGAGGGAGCGCAGGGTGGAGTTTTCCAGGTCCTGCTGCCGGAGCACTTCCAGGTTGTGCTCCAGCTTCACCCGGTTCAGGTGGTAGATGCCTTTCATCTGCTCCAGCTTCTGCTCCAGGTGCTGCACATTCCAGGGGAAAAACAGGAATTACGGGCGCTCCCGCCTCGGAATCCCAGCACTAAGACCGAGTTCCGGTTTCAGGTTTCCCTGGGAAAACTCGGCTTGGAATTCCAGCCCTAAATCCGAGTTCCAGCTCAAATTTTCCTTGGAAAATTCTAAATAACCACCAAGGCATTCCTGGACAATTCCAGGCTCTTCTACCTTGGAATTCCAGACTTAAATCTGAGTTCCAATTTCAATTTTCCCTGGGAAAACTCAGCTTGGAATTCCATCCCTAAATCCAAGCTCCAGCTCAAATTTTCCTGGGAAAACTAAATAACCACCAAGGAATTCCTGGCCAATTCGAGGCCCTACCAGCTCCAAATTCCAGCCCTAAACCCAAGTTCCAATGACAATTTTCCCTGGGAAAACTCAGCTTGGAATTCCAGCCCTAAATGTGAGTTCCAGTTCAAATTTTCCTGGGAAAACTCTAAAAATTCCCATGGGACGATCCCATGAGATGATCCCAGGATCCAATCCCATGCACTGATCCCATGAGCTGATCCCATGCACTGATCCCATGCACTGATCCCATGCACTGATCCCAGTACTGATCCCATGCAGCTGATCCCATGAGCTGATCCCAGCACTGATCCCATGAGCTGATCCCATGAGCTGATCCCATGAGCTGATCCCATGCACTGATCCCATGAGCTGATCCCATGAGCTGATCCCAGCACTGATCCCATGAGCTGATCCCATGCACTGATCCCATGAGCTGATCCCATGCACTGATCCCATGAGCTGATCCCATGAGCTGATCCCATGCACTGATCCCATGAGCTGATCCCAGCAGCTGATCCCATGAGCTGATCCCATGAGCTGATCCCATGCACTGATCCCATGAGCTGATCCCATGAGCAGATCCCAGCACTGATCCCAGCACTGATCCCAGCACTGATCCCATGAGCTGATCCCAGCACTGATCCCAGCACTGATCCCATGAGCTGATCCCAGCACTGATCCCATGAGCTGATCCCAGGCACTGATCCCAGCACTGATCCCATGACTGATCCCATGAGCTGATCCCATGAGCTTATCCCATGAGCTGATCCCATGAGCTGATCCCATGCACTGATCCCAGCACTGATCCCATGAGCTGATCGCAGCACTGATCCCAGCACTGATCCCAGCACTGATCCATGACTGATCCAGCACTGATCCCATGAGCTGATCCCATGACTGATCCCAGCACTGATCCCAGCACTGATCCCATGAGCTGATCCCAGCACTGATCCCAGCACTGATCCCATGAGCTGATCCCATGAGCTGATCCCATGAGCTGATCCCAGCACTGATCCCATGAGCTGATCCCAGCAGCTGATCCCATGAGCTGATCCCATGAGCTGATCCCAGCACTGATCCCATGAGCTGATCCCATGAGCTGATCCCATGAGCTGATCCCAGCTCTGATCCCATGAGCTGATCCCATGCACTGATCCCATGCACTGATCCCATGAGTTGATCCCATGAGCTGATCCCATGAGCTGATCCCATGAGCTGATCCCATGAGCTGATCCCAGCACTGATCCCAGCACTGATCCCAGCACTGATCCCAGCACTGATCCCATGAGCTGATCCCAGCACTGATCCCATGAGCTGATCCCATGAGCTGATCCCATGCACTGATCCCATGCACTGATCCCATGAGCTGATCCCATGCACTGATCCCATGCACTGATCCCATGCACTGATCCCATGAGCTGATCCCATGAGCTGATCCCATGAGCTGATCCCATGAGCTGATCCCAGCACTGATCCCAGCACTGATCCCATGAGCTGATCCCATGCACTGATCCCATGAGCTGATCCCATGAGCTGATCCCATGAGCTGATCCCAGCACTGATCCCAGCACTGATCCCATGAGCTGATCCCAGCACTGATCCCATGAGCTGATCCCAGCACTGATCCCATGAGCTGATCCCATGAGCTGATCCCATGAGCTGATCCCATGCACTGATCCCAGCACTGATCCCAGCACTGATCCCAGCACTGATCCCAGCACTGATCCCATGAGCTGATCCCATGAGCTGATCCCATGCACTGATCCCAGCACTGATCCCATGAGCTGATCCCAGCACTGATCCCATGCACTGATCCCATGAGCTGATCCCAGCACTGATCCCATGAGCTGATCCCATGCACTGATCCCAGCACTGATCCCAGCACTGATCCCAGCACTGATCCCATGCAGCTGATCCCATGAGCTGATCCCATGAGCTGATCCCATGAGCTGATCCCATGAGCTGATCCCATGAGCTGATCCCAGCACTGATCCCAGCACTGATCCCATGAGCTGATCCCATGAGCTGATCCCAGCACTGATCCCATGAGCTGATCCCATGCACTGATCCCAGCACTGATCCCATGCACTGATCCCATGAGCTGATCCCAGCACTGATCCCATGAGCTGATCCCATGAGCTGATCCCAGCACTGATCCCATGAGCTGATCCCATGAGCTGATCCCAGCACTGATCCCAGCACTGATCCCATGAGCTGATCCCAGCACTGATCCCATGAGCTGATCCCATGAGCTGATCCCAGCACTGATCCCATGAGCTGATCCCATGAGCTGATCCCAGCACTGATCCCAGCACTGATCCCATGAGCTGATCCCATGAGCTGATCCCATGAGCTGATCCCATGAGCTGATCCCATGAGCTGATCCCATGCACTGATCCCATGCAGCTGATCCCATGCACTGATCCCATGCACTGATCCCATGAGCTGATCCCATGAGCTGATCCCATGAGCTGATCCCATGCACTGATCCCATGCACTGATCCCATGAGCTGATCCCAGCACTGATCCCATGAGCTGATCCCATGCACTGATCCCAGCACTGATCCCAGCACTGATCCCAGCACTGATCCCATGCACTGATCCCATGAGCTGATCCCATGAGCTGATCCCATGAGCTGATCCCAGCACTGATCCCAGCACTGATCCCATGAGCTGATCCCATGAGCTGATCCCATGAGCTGATCCCATGCACTGATCCCATGAGCTGATCCCATGCACTGATCCCAGCACTGATCCCAGCACTGATCCCATGAGCTGATCCCAGCACTGATCCCATGAGCTGATCCCATGAGCTGATCCCATGAGCTGATCCCAGCACTGATCCCATGAGCTGATCCCATGAGCTGATCCCATGAGCTGATCCCATGCACTGATCCCAGCACTGATCCCAGCACTGATCCCATGAGCTGATACCAGCACTGATCCCAGCACTGATCCCAGCACTGATCCCATGCACTGATCCCAGCACTGATCCCATCCCATGAGCAGATCCCAGCACTGATCCCATGCTCTGATCCCATGAGCTGATCCCATGAGCTGATCCCATGCGCTGATCCCATGAGCTGATCCCAGCACTGATCCCATGAGCTGATCCCAGCACTGATCCCAGCACTGATCCCATGCACTGATCCCAGCACTGATCCCATGAGCTGATCCCAGCACTGATCCCATGAGCTGATCCCATGAGCTGATCCCAGCACTGATCCCAGCACTGATCCCATGAGCTGATCCCAGCACTGATCCCATGCTCTCATCCCCTGAGCCGATCCCCGGAGCCGATCCCAGGCGTGGATCCCCCCTCCCCCCTCACCTGCACGTCCCTCTCGAGCTGCAGCCTCATCCTGTCGAGGGTGGCCACGTCCTGCTCCTGCAGCTCCTGCAGGAGCCGCTCCGACTGCTCCGCCCTCTCCGTGCGGCCCCGCAGCCATTCCAGCTGGGAATTCCGGCTCCTTCAGCTCCCGGGAACAGGCTGGGAAACCGCCCCTTCCCCCACCCCGTCCCAGCGCTCCCAAAAAACCACGGGCGGAGCTGGTGGGGGAAGGGCTGGGATGATCCATCCAGGAAGGGGCTGGAGCAGCGGGAATGGCGGAGGGAGCTGGGAGAGCTCATCCCGGGGAAAAAAGAGGGATCAGGAGGGAGCTTTTCCAGCCCCACAACTCCCTGCCAGGAGGGGGGAGGTGTCCCCAATTCCCAGGGAACAGGGCCAGGAGGAGAGGGAACGGCCTCCAGCTGGGCCAGGGCAGGGGCAGGGGGGATATTGGGATAATTCCCACCTGGAAAGGGTGGATAAACATCGGAATGAACCTCCCAGGGCAGGGCTGGAGTCGCCATCCCTGCAGGGATTCCCAATCCCTGGGGATTGGGACACGGATCCGGGGTGGCCTGGGCAGGGCTGGATGGACTTTGGTGCCTCCAAGGGGGCTTTTCCCGCCCGGATCCCTCCGGGATTCCCGGATATTCCCCCCCTCCCCCCCCCCCAGGGGCGTCACCTGCCGCTCGTTGTGGGCCTGGATGGTCTCATTCCACCTTTTCCTGCCGCTCTCCAGCATTTCCCGCCGCTCCTGCTCCAAAGCCTCCTGCGGGGGAGATCCCTGCCATCCCACGGAGCTCCCACCGGCATTCCCAGCCCTCGGGAATTCGGGATTTCAGCCCCAACCCCCCCATCCCGAGGCCTTTTCCTCCCACGGAAGGGATGATTTTCCCACCCCCTCACCCCCCTTTCCAAGATTCCCGTGGGAATGGGGGCACCTCGATGTGCCGGAGGTTGTGCCGGAGGGTCTGGAGCACATTCCTGGTCTGCTCCTCCATCCTCTCCAGGAGCAGGTGGATCTCATCCCGCTGCTCCCGCAGGGCCTGCTCGAACCGCCCGTCCTGCACCCGCAGCTCCTGCACCCGGAGCGGGGAACACCGGGAATGCACCGGGAATGCACCGGGAATGCACCCGGAATGCACCGGGAATGCACCCGGAATGCACCCGGAATGCACCGGGAACACCGGGAATGCACCGGGAATGCACCCGGAATGCACCGGGAATGCACCGGGAACACCGGGAATGCACCCGGAATGCACCGGGAATGCACCGGGAAACGGGGTCGGGGAGGGGCTCCCAGCTCTCCCTGGATCCTTCCCTGCTCCAGCCTGGCCATTCCCAGCTCTCCCAGCCTGGATCCAGAGCCTGACATTGGATCCATGCCCAGCCCAACTCCTCTCTGGGAAGGAGTTCCGGGAACAAGGGGGGGTTCCCTGGGAATCTCGGCACTCAGGGAAGGGTCTCCCTTCCCCTTTCCCCGCCTTTTCCACCCCCAGATTCCATAAAAACCCCTCTGATTGGATCCTGAGTGCCCTTTATCCTGGATTCATGGAATAGTTTGGGGGGGGAAGGAGCATTAAATCCCATCCCATTCCATGTTCAGGGACACCTCCTGCTATCCCAGGGGATCCAGCCCGGCCCGGGACACTGCAGGGATCCAGGGGCAGCCACAGCTTCCCTGGGAATTCCAGCCCAGCCGGGAATCCCTTCCCAGTCTCCCCCCCAATCTCCCCTTTCCCAGTGGGAAGCCATTCCCTGTGTCCTGCCATTCCAGGCCCTGATCCCAAATCCCTCTCCAGCTCTCCTGGAGCCCCTGCAGGCTCTGGGAGGGGCTCCCAGCTCTCCCTGGATCCTTCCCTGGCCATTCCCACCCCGTCATTCCCGCTCACCTCCCGCAGGTCCCGGATCAGCCGCTCCTTGTCCCGCAGGATTTGCCGGCCCCGTTCCCGCTGCTCCCTCAGCAGCTCCCGCAGCTCCTGCGGGATTGGGGTGTCCTCGGCCCGGGCCCACCCGGAGCTGATCTCCCCAAACTGCTCCGTGCTCCGCTGGGCTTCCCTCTCCAGCCTCTCCAGCCTGCAGGGAGCCGGGAATGCCGGCGGGAAAACCGGGAGAACCCCCGCGATCCCTCGGAATTCCGAGCGGCAGCGGCACAGCAGGGAATTGGCCGGGCTGGAAAAGCCCTTGGACACCAGCAGGTCCAACCATTTATCCCCCTGAGGATCATGGAATTATTGAGGTTGGAAAAGCCCTTGGACACCATCAAATCCAACCATTTATCCCCCTGAGGATCATGGAATTATTTGTCCTGGAAAAGCCCTTGGACACCAGCAGGTCCAACCATTTATCCCCCTGAGGGATCATGGAATGATTCATCCTGGAAAAGCCCTTGGACACCAGCAGGTCCAACCATTTCTCTCCCAAAGGATCATGGAATTATTTGTCCTGGAAAAGCCCTTGGACGCCATCAGGTCCAACCCTTTATCCCCCAGAGGATCTTGGAATTATTTGTCCTGGAAAAGCCCTTGGAGACCATCAGATCCAGCCATTTATCCCCCAAAGGATCTTGGAATTATTTATCTTGGAAAAGCCCTTGGAGACCATCAGATCCAACCATTTATCCCCCAAAGGATCTTGGAATTATTTATCCTGGAAAAGCCCTTGGACACCAGCAGGTCCAACCATTTATCCCCCAAAGGATCTTGGAATTATTAATCTTGGAAAAGCCCTTGGACACCATCAGGTCCAACCATTTATCCCCCAAAGGATCTTGGAATTATTGAGGCTGGAAAAGCCCTTGGACACCATTAAATCAAATCATTTTCCCCCTCAAAGGATCTTGGAATTATTTATCCTGGAAAAGCCCTTGGACACCAGCAGGTCCAACCATTTATCCCCCTGAGGATCATGGAATTACTGAGGTTGGAAAAGCCCTTGGACACCATCAGGTCCAACCATTTCCCCCCAAAGGATCATGGAATTATTTATCTTGGAAAGCCCTTGGACACCATCAGGTCTGATCATTTTTACCCCCTCAAGGAATCTTGGAATTACTGAGGTTGGAAAAGCCCTTGGACACCATCAGATCCAACCATTTTTACCCCCTCAAGGAATCTTGGAATTACTGGAATTGCTGTGGGAGCACAGGCATGGAATTCCCTGGGAACATGGGCATGGAATTCCCTGGGAATATGGACATGGAATTCCCTGGGAACGTGGGCATGGAATTCCCTGGGAACATGGGCATGCAATTCCCTGGGAACACGGGCATGGAATTTCCTGGGAATATGGGCATGGAATTCCCTGGGACCGGGGCTGGGGGAGGGTTTCCAGGTCTGCTGGAGAAGCAGGACCAGGTTTCCCTGGGAAGGCTCCCAGGGAGAAATCTGGGAATGCTGGAGGCTGGGAGGGCTCTGGGATATCAGAGGGGATCAACTTCCCTGCCAGGGCCCTGCCCTGGGGGAGCCGGGAATTCCAAGGGGGAATCCTGGAATGGGCTGGGTGGGAAGGGACTTTAAACCCCATCCCATTCCATGTTCAGGGACAGCTCCCTCCATCCCAGGGGATCCAACCCGGCCTGGGACACTGCAGGGATCCAGGGGCAGCCACAGCTTCCCTGGGAATTCCAGCCCAGCCGGGAATCCCTTCCCAATCTCCCACCCCAATCTCCCCTTTCCCAGTGGGAAGCCATTCCCTGTGTCCTGCCATTCCAGGCCCTGATCCCAAATCCCTCTCCAGCTCTCCTGGAGCCCCTGCAGGCTCGGGAAGCTCCTCAGGGATCTCCCGTATCCGGAGGGACCCGAAGCTCCATCATTCATCATCCCCCCCAAAATTCCCCCAAATTCCAGGATTCCCAGCGCTTCCCACGCCCTGCCCCGCCCCTTCCCGGCAGATCCCAGGGAATGTCCCACCTGCTCCTCCTGTGCCGGGCCTGCTGCTCCCTCCGGCGGCATTCCCGGAGATCCGACTGCACCCGCACATCCGTCACCAGCTGCGAGCCCTGGAACAGCAGCCGGGCCAGGGCCTGCCGGGACCACGCCTGGGATTCACCAACCCCGCCCCAAACCCTCCCAGTGCCCGGGCTGGGCAATCAAATCCCAAAGATTCCACCCCAAAACCCTCCCAGTGCCCGGGCTGGGCAATCCCTTCCCAAAGATTCCATCCCCAAACCCTCCCAGTCCCCGGGCTGGGCAACCCCGGCCCAAGGAATCCACCCCAAAACCCTCCCAGTGCCCGGGCTGGGCAATCAAATCCCAAAGATTCCACCCCAAAACCCTCCCAGTGCCCGGGCTGGGCAATCCCTTCCCAAAGATTCCATCCCCAAAACCCTCCCAGTGCCCGGGCTGGGCAATCCCTTCCCAAAGATTCCATCCCAAAACCCTCCCAGTGCCCGGGCTGGGCAATCAAATCCCAAAGATTCCATCCCAAAACCCTCCCAGTGCCCGGGCTGGGCAATCAAATCCCAAAGATTCCACCCCAAAACCCTCCCAGCCCAAGGAACCCACCCCAAAACCCTCCCAGCCCACGGAATCCACCCCAAAACCCTCCCAGTCCAAGGAATCCACCCCAAAATCCTCCCAGTCCACGGGCTGGGCAACCCCAGCCCGAGGAATCCACCCCAAAACCCTCCCAGTGCCCAAGGAATCCACCCCAAAACCCTCCCAGCCCAGGGAATCCACCCAAAAACCCTCCCAGCCCAAGGAATCCACCCCAAATCCAAGCCCTGAGGGCTTTCTGTCTCAGATGGGACCATAAGGATGGATCCAGGAGGATTCCACATTTAGGAAGCTGTTTTGGGGTTGGGATTCACATCCCCAGCCCCAAATCCTCCCAATCCACGGGCTGGGCAATCCCATCCCAAGGATTCCCCCCCAAATCCAAGCCCTGAGGGGTTTCTGTCCCCAAATGGGACAATAAAGGATCAATCCCAAGTTCCAAGGAGGAGACACTTAGGGCACACATTTGGGAAGCTGTTTTGGGGTTGGATTCACATCCCCAGCCCCAAATCCCAAGGATTCCCCCAAATCCAAGCCCTGAGGGGTTTCTGTCCCCAGATGGGACAGTGAGGACCCCAAACAGCTCCAGGGATGGATCCAGGGGGACATTCCCGGCCTCTCCCTCACCTTCTCCGTCTCCTCAATCAGCACCAGGCTCTTCCTCTGCTCTTCCTCCTCCTCCTCCTCCTCCTCCTCCTCCTCCTCCACAATTCCAAGGGCTGCCCTGGGTGGAAAAGAGCGGGAAGAGCCGGAGGTTTCCCACGGGAATGGTCCTGAGATCCCGGGGAGGGATCTGGGGATGGATCCTGAGCCCTGGGAATGGTCCTGAGCCCCGGGAAGGGATCTGGGGATGGATCCTGAGCCCTGGGAATGGTCCTGAGCCCCGGGGAGGGATCTGGGGATGGGTCCTGAGCCCTGGGAATGGTCCTGAGCCCCGGGGAGGGATCTGGGGTGGGGTTTTGAGCCCTAGGGAGGGATTTGGGGATGGATTTTGAGCCCCGAGGATGAGTTTGGAGCCCCGGGGAGGGGTTTGGGGATGGATTTGAAGCCTCGGGGAGGGGTTTGGGGCTGGATTTGGAGCCCCGGGGCTGAATTTGGGGTGGGTCCCTCACCGTGCCCGCTCCCCGCGGGTCCCGCCCCGCTCCGAGGATGAGTTTGGACCCCGGGGAGGGTTTTGGGGTGGATTTGGAGCCCCGGGGCTGAATTTGGGTTCGGGTTCTGAGCCCCGGGGATGAGTTTGGAGCCCCGGGGAGGGGTTTGGGGATGGATTTGGAGCCCCGGGGCTGAATTTGGGGTGTGTTCTGAGCCCCGGGGATGAGTTTGGAGCCCCGGGGAGGGGTTTTGGGGTGGATTTGGAACCCCGGGGCTGAATTTGGGGTGGGTCCCTCACCGTGCCCGCTCCCCGCGGGTCCCGCCCCGCTCCTGCCGCTCCGAGGCCGCCCCGGTGGCCGCGCCGGGCTCGGGGCCGGGGCTGGGCTGGCGGATCTCGTGGAGATCCCCGCGCTGCTGCTGCTGTTGCTCCTGGTTTTCCATGGATTTGCCGGGATCGGGAGCGAGGGAGGATCGGGAAGGGGGGGGGGGTGGTGGTTAGAGGGAGGGAGCCGTTACTGCGCATGCGCGCGGGGCCGGGAGCGTCTCTGGTTGCCTGGCAACGCGGCCGCCATGTTGGCGTCTCTGGTTGCCTGGCAACGCGGCCGCCATGTTGGCGTCTCTGGTTGCCAAGCAACGCGGCCGCCATGTTGGCGTCTCTGGTTGCCTGGCAACGGGGCGGGAGCGTCACCAACCCCCCCATCCCATTCCCATTCCCATCGGGAATAGCGGGAAAAACGGAACCGGGATAGGGGCTGGAAGACCCCCCCGGCCCCGAGACACCCGCGCAGGGGGCAATGCACGTCCCGGGGGGGCGGGAGGAGGGGCCGGGCTGGAATTCCCAGGGAAGCTGTGGCTGCCCCTGGATCCCGGGAGTGTCCCAGGCCGGGTTGGATCCCCTGGGATAGCGGGAGGTGTCCCTGAACATGGAATGGGATGATCCTGAAAATCCCTTCCCACCCAACCCATTCCAGGATAAAGGACACTCAGGATCCACTCAGAGGGGTTTTTATGGAATGTGGGGATGGCAAAGGCAGGAAAGGGGAAGGGAGACCCTTCCCTGAGTGCCGAGATTCCCAGGGAACCCCCCCTTGTTCCCGGAACTCCTTCCCAGAGAGGAGTTGGGCTGGGCATGGATCCAATGTCAGGCTCTGGATCCAGGCTGGGAGAGCTGGGAATGGCCAGGCTGGAGCAGGGAAGGATCCAGGGAGAGCTGGGAGCCCCTCCCAGAGCCTGCAGGGGCTCCAGGAGAGCTGGAGAGGGATTTGGGCTCAGGGCCTGGAATGGCAGGACACAGGGAATGGCTTCCCACTGGGAAAGGGGAGATTGGGGTGGGAGATTGGGAAGGGATTCCCGGCTGGGCTGGAATTCCCAGGGAAGCTGTGGCTGCCCCTGGATCCCTGGGTTGGTTCCCTCAGGACATTCCCTGCCCATCCCGAGCTCGATCCCGGCTCCAGCCCCCACGGGTTCGCTCAGCCCAAGGGTCGGGAACATTCCCAAATCCCTCAGTTCCTCTGGAATGGCGATCCCGGGGAAAGAGGAGCCCTCTGGAAGCGCTGCCCGTGCTGGATCCAGGCTGGACACGGAGCAGCCGGACCGACCCCCGGGAAGGCAGGGCGGGAATTCCGGGATAACCATTCCAGCCCCCTCGGGGAACGGGACATTTCCCCCTCCGGAGCCGCCGGGAATTCTTGGAATTGCTCCGGGTGGCCCCCGGAGCGCGAGGAGCTCTCCAGGCTCAGCATTCCCGGCCTCTCCCGCCTCCGGATTTGTGGGAAGCGGCGGCGCCGCCCGCGCCCGTTTCCAGGGGGGTTGCCATGGCGTTGGGATCCGCGGTTTCCATGGGAATGGCAGGAGGCTGGGAATGATGGGGGGGGGGGGGGGGGGGCTGCTGCCGGAGCTGCCGGGATTGGGCCCCCAACATTCCCACAGGGAGGGATTCCAGGATTCCAGGGGGGTCTTCCAGATCCTCCGTTTTGGCCTTCTGGGAGACGGGAGTGATGTTGGTTTTTCCAGGGAATTCTGTTGGGATAACGCTCTGGAGACAGAGCGGGGGATGGGGGGGATTTCCAAGTGGGAATATCCCAGGGAATAATGATTGATGGCTTCTTTATCCCAGGGGATAATTTATGGGATTTAGGGCATTCCACCCCATCCCATCCCATCCTATCCCATCCTATCCCATCCCATCCCATCCCATCCCATCCCACCCCATCCCATCCCATCCCATCCCATCCCATCCATCCCATCCCATCCCATCCCATCCCATCCCATTCCATCCCATCCCATCCCATCCGGAATTCCTCTGGGATCCAAGGAGCCAATCCCTGCCCTCCCCAGGAAAACCAGAAGGTTGGAAAAGAGGAGCAATTCCAGCCCCATCCCGGGGTTTTATCCCAAACCTTGGAATTTCTGACCACCCCCCCCATCCATGGTCTGGCACCCTCATTCCAGCTTTTTTTTCCAGGGATTGGGCCCTGGAAACCGCTTGGGAATAGGATTTGCCATCCCTGAAAGCAAAACCAAAGTGGGTTATCCAAGGAAATCCTGGAATAAAGGAATAGTGGAATAACGGCATGGCTGGGATTTTCCATAGGTTTGGCAGGCTGGGAATTCCTTGGGAATGTTGGAGAAGGGGTGGGGGGGACGCAGAGGGCATTTGGGAACAGGGTTCTCCATCCCTAAAAGTAAAACCAAAGTGGTTTATCCAAGAAAATCATGGAATAACAGGAATAAAGGAATAACGGCATGGCTGGGATTCTCCACAGGTTTGGCAGGCTGGGAATCCCTTGGGAATGTTGGGGAAGCGGGACAGCAGAGGGCATTTGGGGAACAGGATTTTCCCAGCCCTCCCAGCCAAACCAAAGCGGGTTATCCACGGAAATGAAGGAATAACGGGACGGGGGGGGGTGGGGGGGAATTCCAGGCCGGGAAGCCCCCAAATCCCTGAGGAATTCTCTTGGAGTGGAGGGGATTATTCCAAGCTCCTTTTCCCGGCCCGCAGGTGGCGGCAACAACCCGCGGGATTCCCGGGATGCGGGGGGAGTGGGAAGCGCTCCCTCCTTCCATCCATCCCTCCATCCATCCCTCCATCCTTCCAACCTTCCCGGCTCCCGCGGCCGCGACTCCTCGGCATTCCCGATCCGGGAAAAAGTGAGTGGGGTCCGTTCTCCTGGAGCGGGAATGCCGGGAGCTGGGGTTGGGAAGAGGTGCCGTGAATAAATCCCGATGGATCCGAACGCCGCCGAGGGAAGGGGGAGCTTTGGGAAGGAGGGGGGAGGAGGAGGAGGAGGAGGAGGAGGAGGAGGAGGAAGAGCCGTTTCCCGGGAGCGTTTCCCGGGAGCGTTTCCGGGAGCTGTTCCCGCAGCTCCGGGAGCGATGGGATGGCTCAGCCGCCTCTTCCAGCAGTTTTCCTGTGAGTCCGGAGGCCGCTTCCCTCGGGATTTCGGGATCGGGGGCGCTCCCGGGGGGGGCGTTTCATCCAGATTTTTTATGGCATTGGGAAAGGGGGTTTGGCTGCTCCTGGAAGAGGAGAGGCCGGGGGAGATCCTGAACTTCGGGAATGGGGGGGAGGGCGGCAGGAAATGGGGAGGGAAATGGATGGGATGGGATGGATCATATCCCAAAAAAATGGTCTTCAGCCCCCAGGAGGTGGGAATGGGATGGAGAGGGAAAGGGATGGGATGGGATGGGATGGGATGGATGGATGGATCACATCCCAGATCCATGGGGTGAGGTGGGACTGGGATGAGGGGCTGGAGAGGGAAGGGGACAGAGAGGGCAGGGATATGCAGGGCATTCTCAGTATTCCCACTGGATCCCAGTATTCCCACTGGATCCCATCCCAGAAAAAGAGGGTCTGGTGGGCCTGGAGAGGGAATGGGGGGTGCAGGGCTGGATCCCATCCCAGTTCCATGGGGAGAGATGGGATAGAGATGAGGGGCTGGGTGGATGGATGGATCACATCCCAAAAAACGGGGTGAGGTGGGACTGGGATGGAGAGGGAAAGGGATGGGATGGATGGATCACATCCCAAAAAATGGGCCTGGGATGAGGGGCTGGAGAGGGCTGGGCTGGCTGGATCCCAGGCTCCCAATTCCCGGGAGCACAGGGATGCCCTGGATCTCTCTCCCCTCTCCAGCATTCCCGCTGCTCCCTGCCGGGACATTCCAGCCTTCCCACTGCATCCCTGGGCCGGAATTCCCGCTGGGGCCCAGCAGGAGAGCGGGAGCAGCCGTTCCCTGCGTGGGAAAACTGCCGTGGGAGCTTGGGAATCTCGCCGGGAATGGCAACAGGGAGATGGGAGGAGGGGGAGGAAGGACCCGGATCCGCATCCATCCCGAACTTTCCCAGCCCCTGGGAGAGAGAGGGGCCTTCCCAGGGGATTCTCGGCTTCCTTTCCTTGGAAAAAAAGGATTTTCATCCCTAAAAAGTAAAGCTGAGGTGGATTGGAGAAGGAAATCCTGGAATAACGGGAATTTTTTGGGGGAGCTCCACATTCCTTGGGGGGGCCTTCCCAGCTTTTGGGGGGGCTTTTCCCACTGGGAAAGGGGTGGGGTCAGACCTGGAATGGGGGTAAATTTGGGAGCAGCAGGGAAGGAATGGGAAGGGCACGGGAATCTCTGGACACATTCCAAGGGGGATCCCAGGCAGGGAAGGGATCCAGGGGGGGACATGGGATGGAATGGGGATGGGGGCGGGGGTGTGTCCTGGGAAGGGCTGCAGCTTCCCAAGAATTCCCCCTGGGATTTGAGGAAGTTTCCCCCCCCAGCTTCACTCCAGCGCTTCCCCATTCCCACCCGGCATTCCCACCCGGCATTCCCACCCCTCCACATTCCCAGGATCCCACCTTTCCCAGTGCCACCCGTGGTGTGTGTGGGGCTATCCCCACCCATCCCTCCTCTTCCCGCTCTCCCTGCAGGAATCTGGGCATCCCAAACCCGCTTTGGCTGCAGGCGGGAATGCCGGGTGTGGGAAGGCCCCTTTCCAAAGGAGCAGCATTCCCGGGAATGCCCCAGGATCGGGAAGGTGCTTCCCGGGGGTGGTTGTGGGGCCGCCCCGTGACCTCCCACGGGCGGGCGGGACCCGCCGCGGCTCTTCCTGCTCCGCTTCCTCCCCGGAGGAGCCGGAGAGGCCCCCCCCCGCATCCCGGGATTTTTGGGGGGGAATTCCCCCTTTCCCCCACCCGCGGAGGGGCCTCTCCGTGGGCAATCCCGCCGGCTCCTCCCGGGAAGCATTCCCGGCCCGTCCCGAGCCGCCGGCAGAGGAATCCCACCTGGATTCCCACCTGGATTCCCCACCTGGATTGCCGTTCCCGGAAGCGGGAAGAAGGGAAGGAGCGGTTTTTCCACCCGCGCCGATTCCTCCCGTGGGATTCGTTTCCCCCGGGCCTGGGGGCGGGAATTCCACCCTTCCCGGCAAGGTGAGAGCCGCTTCCCACCCTCTGGAAAACTCCTGGCGGCTCGGGAAGAGCCGAGGGAGCGGCTGGAGGGGGTGGCGATCCCTGTTCCTGTTCCCGGACGGGCGGGAGGGCAGGGAATGCTTTCCTTGGATCCACGGGGGACGTGGAGGAGCTGGGGCGCTCGGGAATTCGGGAATACGAGGGCAGATATCGGGAATCTCCCGGAGTCTATGTTTGCGGCTCCACGCGGCGCTGGGAATGTGGGAATGTGGGAATGTGGGAATTCCGCGGTCCGGGGGTGAGAGGGAACGGCCCCGGGGGGGTTGGGGTATCCAGGGATTCCGGGATTCCCTCGGGATGTGCCGGGAGTCCTGAGGAGGTTGGGGGCATCCAAGGATTCCGGGATTCCCTCGGGATGTGCCGGGAGTCCTGAACCAGCCGGGGGGGGGGCGGGGGAGGCATCCAGGAATTCCGGGATTCCCTCGGGATGCGCCGAGCCAGCCCGGGCTGGGTGAACCTGCCTGGAATCCACAAGGATGATCCCACTGCTGGATCACCCGGGATAGGGACATCCAGGGAATGTTGGAGCCCTTGTTTGGCCGGGAATTGGGAAGGAGTTTGGGAGTCTCAAGGTGCCACCTGGGGTGGGAATATCCCAAGGGAAGGGAATGTCCCACGGAGGTGACAGGGACATCCAGGGAATGTCTGACCAGGGATTGGGATGGACTTTGAGCTCTTGGAAGTGCCACATGGAGTGGGAATGTCCCAAGGAGGTGACAGGGACATCCAGAGAATGTCTGAACCTCGGCCAGGGATCGGGAAGGACCTGGGGGTCTGGGAGGCTTTTTCCTTGGAAAAGTTTTTCCTCACCAGGGGCAGATGGAGCCGGGAATCCTCCGGGAGAAGCCTGGCTCTGGTGGCAAATCCTGTGGGATACCCGTGGTTCCTCCAGCACAGGGGGAAAACCTGGGATACCCGGCACAGGGATTGCTACCACGGGGGTAAAGCTGGATCTTTCCCCTTGGAAAATCCCTCTGGAATGTGTGTGTTTTCCTCAGGGATGGGGTAGGGCGGATGGCAGGGATGGACAGGGATGGAAAGGGATGGACAGGGAAGGACAGGGAGGATGGGAAGGGAAGGTTTGGAAGCTGGGACAGGTTTGGGAAGGAAAGGTTTAGGACAGGTATGGGAAGGGAAGGAAGGTTTAGGACAGGAAGGGTTAGGGAAGGAAAGGTTAGGGAAGGTTAGGGAAGGTTTAGGAAGGATTAGGAAGGAAGGGAAGGAAGGAAGGGAAGGAAGGAAGGGAAGGAAGGGAAGGACAGGGCAGGAAGGGAAGGACGGGGTTGGAAAGGAAAAGACAGGGAAGGACAAGAGAGAAAGGGAAGGACAGGGATGGACAGGATGAGATGGAAAGGGAAGGACAGGGGAAGGACAAGGATGGGAAGGGATGGACAGGGAAGGACAGGGAAAGAACAGGATGGAAAGGGATGGGGCAGGGAAGGGACAGGACAGGGAAGGGAAAGGGAAGGGACAGGGAAGGGACAGGGATGGATGGAAAGGGAAGGAAAGAGAAGGACAAGGGAAGGACAGGGACAGAAAGGGAAGGACAGGGATGGACAGGGAAGGGATGGACAGGGATGGACAGGGAAGGGACAGGGATGGGACAGGGAAGGAAAGGAATGGAAAGGAGAGGAAAGGATGGAATGGAAGCAGGAAGGAAAGAAGGAACGGAGGACAGGGAAGGACAGGGATGGACAGGGATGGACAAGGAAGGGACAGGGAAGGAAAGGAATGGAAAGGGAAGGGAACAACAGGGAAGGACAGGGATGGAAAGGGAAGGACAGGGAGGGGACAGGGAAGGGAAGGACAAGGATGGGACAGGGAAGGATGGGGACAGAGAAGGGAAGGAAAGGGAAGAGAAGGACAGGGAAGGAAAGGGATGGAAAGGGATGGACAGGGATGGAAAGGGAAGGAAAGGGAAGGACAAAGATGGGAAAGGGATGGAAATGGAAGGACAGGGATGGAAAGGGAAGGACAAGGATGGGACAGGGATGGACAGGGATGGAAAAGGAAGGACAGGGATGGAAATGGAAGGAAAGGGAAGGACAGGGATGGACAGGGATGGAAAGGGAAGGACAAGGATGGGACAGGGATGGACAGGGAAGGAAAGGGAAAGACAAGGATGGAAAGAGATGGACAGGGATGGAAATGGAAGGAAATGGAAGGAAAGGGAAGGACAGGGATGGACGGGGATGGAAAGGGATGGAAAGGGAAGGACAGGGAGAGGACAGGGAAGGAAAGGGATGGGACAGGGAAGGGAAGGACAGGGATGGGCAGGGATGGACAGGGATGGGCAGGGAAGGAAAGGGAAGGACAGGGATGGGACAGGGATGGACAGGGAAGGCCAGGGACGGCCCGGGGTGTTTGGGGAAGTGGCAGCGACGAGGGAAGAGGAAGAGGAAGTGTCAGAAGGAGCTCCCGTCGGCCCCCGGGAAAACCTCCCGGGCTTCTCCTTTCGGGCCAAGGAGAGAAAAAAGGGTGAGAAAAGGGCCAAAAGTGGCCAAAAATGGATTAAAAAAAGGGCTAAAAATGGAGTAAAGAAAGGGTTAAAAATGGGTAAAAAGAAGGGTTAGAAAGGGGGGTTAAAAAGGGGGTAAAAATGACTTAAAAGGGGCTTAAAGAGGCTAAAAAAGGGCTAAAAAATGGACCCAAATTGGCTAAATGGCCAAGAAAAGGGGGCAAAAAAGGCTTTAAAAGGAGTTAAAATTGGCTTTAAAAGGGTCAAAAATTGTCTTTAAAAGGGATTAAGAAAGGGCCAAAAAAAAGTAAAAAAGGCTTTAAAGGGGGGATAAAAATGGCTTAAAAAGAGGCTAAAAATTAATAAGAAAGATTAAAAATGGCTAAAAAAGGTGCTAAAAAGGGGCTAAAAATCATCCAAAAAGAGCTAAAAAGGGAAAAAAACGGCTAAAAAGGCTTAAAATGGGCAAAAGGGGGCCAAAAAAAGGCTAAAAAGAGGGCTAAAAAATGGTCCTAAAATGGGTTAAAAACAGGCTAAAAAGCTAAATAGGGACCAAAAAGGGGCTAAAAAGGGATAAAAAAGGGAATAAAATATAGGGTAAAAAGGGATAAAGAGGGATAAAAAGGGATAGAAAAGGGATAAAAAGGGATAAAAAGGGATAAAAAAGGATAAAAAAGGATAAAAAAGATAAAAAGGGGATAAAAAGGGAAAAAAGGATAAAAAAGGGATAGAAAAAAGGAGGGAAAAAAAGGGATAAAGAAAGGGATAAAAAAGGGATTAAAAAGGGATAAAAAAGAGATAAAAATGGGATAAAAACGGCCTAAAAACAGGATAAAAATGAGCTAAAAAAGGGCTTAAAAATGGGATTAAAAACGGCTAAAAAATGGACAAAAAGATAAAAAAAGGGCTAAGAAGGGGATAAAAACGAGATAAAAAACGTGATTAAAAAAGGGGAAAATTGGGTTAAAAGGGGATAAAAAAGGGTTTTAAAAAGGGCTTAAAAAGGGATAAAAAACAGCAAAGAAAGGGATAAAAACGGGACAAAAAGAGGATAAAACGGGATAAAAAAGGGGATAAGAAAGGGATTAAAAAGGAATAAAAAAGGAATTAAAAAAGGAATAAAAAAGGGATAAAAAAGGGATTAAGGAAAGGGGAAAGGGTAAGGAAAAGGGTTAAAAGGGGATAAAAAAAAGTTTTAAAAATGGACTTTAAAAGGGATAAAAACGGGCTAAAAAAGGAATTAAAATAGGCAAAAAAGGGGCCTAAAAAGGGGCTAAAATTGGATAAAAAGGGGCTAAAAATGAATAACTGGGGCTAAAAATGAATAAAATGATGCTGGAATACTGGGAATGCTGGAATATTGGGAATGCTGGGCAACTGGGAATGCTGGCTGGTGCGAAAAGGGAAGAGAAGGACGTGGAAGGAAATGGATGAAAGGGATGGACAGGTGGAAAGGGAAGGAAAGGGAAGGGGACAAAGATGGAAAGGGATGAAATGGAAGGATGAAGAAAGGGAAGGACAAGGATGGGACAGGGAATGACAGGGATGGAAAAGGAAGGATAGGGCTAAATTGAAACAAAGGAAGGATAGAGGGATGGACTTGGGATGGAAAGGGAAGGACAAGGATGGGACAGGGATGGACAGGGAAGGACAGGGAAGGAAAGGGAAGGAAAGGGATGGACAGGGATGGAAATGGAAGGAAAGGGAAGGACAAGGGATAGGACAGGGAAGGAAAGGGATGGAAAGGGATAGGAAAAGGGAAGGACAGGAGATGGACAGGGAAGGAAAGGGATGGGACAGGGAAGGGAAGGGATGGAAAGGGATGGACAGGGATGGACGGGGATGGAAAGGGAAGGAAAGGGAAGGACAAGGATGGGACAGGGATGGACAGGGAAGGACAGGGACGGCCCGGGGTGTTTGGGGAAGTGGCAGCGACGAGGGAAGAGGAAGAGGAAGTGTCAGAAGGAGCTCCCGTCGGCCCCCGGGAAAACCTCCCGGGCTTCTCCTTTCGGGCCAAGGAGAGAAAAAAGGGTGAGAAAAGGGCCAAAAGTGGCCAAAAATGGATGAAAGAAAGGGCTAAAAATGGAGTAAAGAAAGGGTTAAAAATGGGTAAAAAGAAGGGTTAGAAAGGGGGGTTAAAAAGGGGGTAAAAATGACTTAAAAGGGGCTTAAAGAGGCTAAAAAAGGGCTAAAAAATGGACCCAAATTGGCTAAAATGGCCAAGAAAAGGGGGCAAAAAAGGCTTAAAAAGGAGTTAAAATTGGCTTTAAAAGGGTCAAAAATTGTCTTTAAAAGGGATTAAGAAAGGGCCAAAAAAAATGTAAAAAAGGCTTTAAAGGGGGGATAAAAATGGCTTAAAAAGAGGCTAAAAATTAATAAGAAAGATTAAAAATGGCTAAAAAAGGTGCTAAAAAGGGGCTAAAAATCATCCAAAAAGAGCTAAAAAGGGAAAAAAACGGCTAAAAAGGCTTAAAATGGGCAAAAGGGGGCCAAAAAAAGGCTA